AGCGATCAGCTAACTGAATTCTCATCCTAGTAGTTCTAGGTTCACCTAGGCCTAGCTTCTTAAACAATTTATAAGGCATGACATTAATGCTAGCGCCTAAATCCGCCAAGGACTTTCCTACATGCATACTGCCAATAACAAGAGGGGTAGTAAAACTCCCTGGGTCTTTGCGCTTCTCGGGCAGCTTGTTCTGCAGGATGGCGGAACACTCCTCGTTGAGCATCACTGTCGAGAGATCCCCAAGTTTCTTTTTGTTGGTGAGGAGATCCTTCATGAATTTAACGTACTTGGGCATCTTCGACAGTGCCTCCACGAACGGCATGTTGATGTTGACCTGCTTCAACATTGCCACGAACTTGGCAAACTCAGTCTCCGGCTTGTCTTTGTGCAGGCGAGTGGGAAAGGGAAGCTGGGGTACATGCTCCTTAACCACTGGCTGTGGCTTGGGAGCAGGTGCTTCTTTCTCCATCCCCACTTCTGCATCGTCAGCTGGAAGTACTGAAGCAGGTAGTGGCTCTTCTTGCCTTGCCGGGGCAGGGGTAGCAGATGTTGTCTTGCCACTCCTAGTAGTGATGGCATCCAGGTGCTGGTGAGGCTCGCGAGGATTTGGAATGGTGTTGGCAGGCAGAGTCCCCAGTGCTCTGGTGTTATTTAGGCGAGCTATGCCACCAATCTTATTATGGAGATCCTGCAATATAGCACCTTGGTTCCTCTGGCCTGCCTCCAATGAGGTTATGTTCTGGTCCATCCTAGCAAAATTCGCCTGGCTGGTAGTCATGAATGCCTGCAAAATGTTTTTCAGCTCCGTCATCTGGGTATCTGGAGCTGGAGCTGCTGGCAACTGGGCATACTGGTGTTGTAGCTGCTGGCAACTGGGCATAGTGGCGTTGTAGCTGCTGGAATGGCTGCCCCTGTCTGGGCTGTTAAGGCTGCTGCTATGGAACCGGACCCCTGCCTGGCCTGGAAGGGCTGCCTCTGTTGAAAACCACCTGCTAGTGCTGGGAAACCAGGTGGTTTAGTGGTGTTGCTATTATTGGCATTCCAGGAGAAGTTGGGATGCTGGCGCCACCCTTCATTATATATTCCACTGTAAGGATCAAGGCGCCAAGCATTGGCGATGAAGTCCAACTGCTCCTAGGGTGTAGAAGACTCCCGTATAGCCTGGCAGTCTTCCACCAGATGGTTCGAACTCTCACACCACTAACATTGTGCAACTGAAGGCCCGGCCAGACCTCTGCCCGGAATAAGACTGTTGGGCTACTTTAATGCCTGGACCAACTCGGCCACCTCCCTCTCTAGCCCGGACCTAGCCTCCATGGCGTGCACACCTCGGTCCCGGGAACTCCTACTTCTGGTGCTCTGCCCCCAAGAGTGATCCCTGGCAGCCAGAGTACTGATCATCTGCTTCAGCTCGGGTGGAGTCTTAGTAAGAATATCCCCTCCTGGGCATAGAGACTCGATCACCCTCTAGCTCTCTAGGGTTAGAGAGCTGTAGAAATTCTCCACTGTGAATGCATCACTGAACCCGTGATGGGGACACTGCCAGAAGAATCCCGAGTACCGCTCCCAGGAATCACGTAGTGACTCATCTAACTTATGGAGGAAATGAGTGATCTCCCGGTGAATCTCCCTGGTCTTCGAGGCCGGATAGTACCTGTGCACAAACTTGTCGGCCAAGTCGTCCCACGACGTGATAGACAATGGGGGCTGGGTCTCTAACCACCTCTTCGCATGCCCCGCCAGAGAATGGGGGAAAAGGTGGAGACGGATTGGATCATCGGGTACACCATTCATTTTGAATCCATTTTGTCAGTTGCAGGAACCGGGAAAGGTGCACCCTTGCCTCCTCATCCTTCAAGCCATGGAACTGGATTGAGGATGTAATCACTTGGATCCAGCATGGCTTGGTCTCAAATTTGTTTGCTGGAATGGGCGAATATAGGATGACGGGATGGATGTCGGCGACTCGTGGAGTGTAGTAGTACTCCATAGTAGGACCCGGCGGGGGTGGTGGATGCTGAGCCCCATCTTCCTGGGGGACTGGGTTGTTCCCCAGGATCTGATTCACTGGGGGAACCTGCATGGGCATCCCAAGGGGTTGATTCTGCCCCAGGTTAAGGTTTCCCTTGTTGTGCTCGTCGCCCATCTCGTATTCCTCTTCGGAGTCGCTGCTCAGATGGCTGTCGACGTGCACTTCCTCTATAGCCAGTCTTGCTCGCTATTGTCTCCTTACTTGGCGACAGGTACGTTCTAGCTCCGGATCTAACGGTAGTAAACCTCCCGACTGGCTACGGGTCATGCACTACCTGCACACAGCAAAGCAAGCAAACCCGTGAAGGCACAAGCGGGAAAAAGCAAACAATCAATGCGGAAAAGAAATGCTATAGTAATAGAAATCACGTTTCTTCAACAACCTATTCGTCCCTGGCAACGGCGCCAAAAACTTGACACGCATCTACCGTCACACTAGAAAGTGGCCAAGTGTAACCACCTACTAATGCGTAGTATAGCGGGTTCAGTTCTAAATGTCAACCCGGGTCCTAGGTGTGATGACTACTCCGTGAAAATCTTATTATTTAGCGGTTCAAATTGTAGTGAAGGTTTAACTAAACTAGCAAGCAAAAGCAGTAAAAGTTGTGTTCAAAGTTGAGAGAGGAGAAGGCACAACTGTAGGGTGGCTCCTGGAAGGCAATTGAGGACTGACGCGTATGCACATTTCAAAAATTACGAGTTCCTGGTACCATTTGTGGAACAAGATTGGCCAAATGTGATATCATTCGATGTACCATACTACCCAAAAATGGTATAGTACTTCTACAACAACATCGCCTATCAGCGTTCTACAAATGGATCAATTCATGCTTTTAGAACCTATGTGAATGGGGTGGAGATACGTATCAGCAAGAGTGTGTTGGCAGCATCACTGGAGGCTCCAAAATATGGGAAGAGAATCGATTCTTAAAATGCTTGGAATGAAACTCATTTCTCGAGAGCCAGAAAAATTCAGACTGTATGTGGTCTTGCTAAAGAGGAAGATGTTGAGGATCACAGTAGGCAAACTATTCGCCAGCTGACAGTTCAAGTTAGAGTTATTCACCACATGCTCTCCTACAACATTCTTCCAAAGGGTGGACATCGGGAGACAGTCACCTACTTTGACATGGAGCTCCTCACCAACCTGCTTTCACATGAGAAGGTGAACTTGCCATACTTGATATTTAAACACATGCTTGATGTTGTAGAGAGTTCAAACAGGAAACTTCCCTATGGGATGATCTTGACTCTATTATTTGAACATTTTAGTGTGAATTTAAATGAAGAGGTTGGCTTAAGAGTCACAAGGCAAGAATAATACACTGTTACATCTCTGAAGAAGATGGGATTTAATATGCATGATGGTGCATATGTACGAGCATACAATCCTCATGTAGTCGATGATGATGATGCTGCTGATGATGATGAGGAGCCCGAAGACGAGCTAATGATGCAACCACAGAGTTCAGCTCCACCAACACCCTACAGCGTATATGGGACCGTATGGATGACATGTACGAGCAGATGGGGCAGATGTCCACCTAGATCACTGGCATGTACGACTACATGGGGCAGATGACCACCTAGATTAGCGCACTGCAGGTGACCGTAACAGAGATGCAAGATGAGTTACAATCTTTTAGTGGAAGATACATGCATCCCACCACATTCGACTACCATAATGCTAGCACCACCAATGAGGAAAATGCTCATGAGTGAGAGAGGGGAGAGGTGTAGGAACTTAATGATTTTAGATTGTGTTTGTTGTTGTTAAGTCTTAAAGAAGATTTGGTTTGAAACAACTTTGATTGCAGATTGATATTATGTGATTTTCGATTTTAGGTATGTGTGAACAATTATGATGTGTGTTTTATTGTATTTCTTGTTAATGTGTTAAGTTGTTATGTTAACTTAACTTAAAACGTTCGACCACTATATTGTAATGGTCAACCGTGAGTTGTCATGAGAGTGACCACCTTAGTGTATTAGGTCGACCGCAGTTAGGAATAGATCAACTGAGCTTTGGTTAGGGCTGACTATTTGGTCCGAGCTTTGGTTTTACCCGAAACCGAACCGTATAACCCAGACCGGGACCGAAACCGGATAGCAAACAATCCGATCCAATCTTCGGGGTTAGATTTGGGGTAAAAAACCATTTGAGACCGGTTCGAAATCCGGATAAAGACCGGATAACAGAGTCCAACACCCAAAACTTAACCAACTTCTCACCTTTGAGTCCTTAGGCAACTCAAATCTCCACAAGCTCGATCTAAAATCAAGACCAAATTGGGACCGGACTGGGTCAAGATCGGACCGGATCAAGCCGGACTGTATCCAATTCAATCTTTGGTCCTTATATTCCTGAAAAAATTGGAGTGGAACGGATCACTTCGGACAAATTTAACCGGACCGGACTATATAGCCACCCCTACTTACGGTGACTTGCAAGGCACGATAGGCGTATCCTATCAATAAATGTGAAAATAATCTTGTTCTCTCTAATTTTGCTCTTAGAAAATTTGAAATGATGAAAAATTCTTTTCAACTCTACTATAATATATTTGTTGATTGTATAATCTTTTAATACTTGAGTATTAAAATTCTTTTTCTTAATAACTGCATAAAAAATATCAACTAAAATCATAATTTTCAATCAACCTCATACTCAGCAATCTTGAATTTACAATGGACAAACTATTATTGTAACCCAATCCACTCTTTATAATTGTGTTTTTGCGAGACACCATTTAGGCATTTATAAATTAATAATTATAATTCTTCTTCTAGACGACGGCCCAAAATTTGAATTGTGAGTGAGAAACCGGGAAAATTGACCCATTTTGCACACCACTTGACAGCAGCCGGGCCTCGGGCCCGGGGCTCCGGACTTGAAAGCGGAGCGGCTCTGCCAAGCCAGGCACGGCCAACAGAAAGCCTGGGGTAAGGTTTAGGGTTCAAAGCATCGAGAAAAAGGCAACCGGTTCTGGCAAGCTCAGCGGAAGAAAAAAAAAGCGGGAGCTAAGAAGAGTCCCACGACCAAAGTCGAACGGAAGATCTCCCGCTGTCTCTCCCAACTGCATTTCCCTTTCTCCTTCTCGTTCAACTCGCTCGCTCTCTTCAACTCCCCCCTGAAAATGCCAGTTGCTGCTCGCGAGCTGACCGTGCTCGGCGAGTTCAAGCCATTTGGCCTCGTCGCCGAAGCTCTCGACGGCAAGCCTCAAGACGGGAGTGTCGTCTCCGACAAGTACGACTACTTCCTTTTCGACGCCGACACCGTCCGGGAAGGAAACGGAGCTGATGACTCGATCAATTCTGCGATGAGCGATCACTGCGACCACGAGCTCTTCATTAGGGGAAACAAGTAATACATTCCCTTCCCTGAAGTCATTTCGGTCCGAGTTCGAGCTAAAGCGAATTGAATCCAGTTCAATTTAGCCACTTCTGTGAATTGGTCTTGGTTTTGATGCTGGTTATCCAATTGTTGTTATCAATTTCGATTCTTGAGTGTGAACTCATACTACTTGAATTTGAATTCAGTAGTTTTGAACTCCAGTGCTGATAGTAATGTAATTGCTCTTGTAATTTGATTTCACTGATAGGATCTTATGGTCTACTGGAGCAAGAATTTTCAAGAGAATCACCCTGCCATCGGCAGTTGCCATGGTGAGGCTTAAATTAAATAATATGTTATGACCTAGAATGTTGAACATGTTGCAGGGAGGATTCAGTTTAACTGGCGTCTCAATTTATCTTTGTGCAGGCGTGCTGGTGTCGGTTGGGTGAAGCATCTGAAGCCTGCCTATGTATATTGCAAGCGGATACCCTAACAGTATATAGTATCTCCGGTAGGATATAACTTTGCAATTTTGGTAATTCTGTAGAAGTTTCCTTGTACAATCTGATCTGAGTTACTTTCTTTTCTTTTCTTTTCTTTATAATAGGGGAAGTGGTATATGTTCCTCTGCCTTGTGTAATCACATCGATATGGCCCCTCCCGTTTGGTTTACTACTTCAGGCAGCTTCTGAAGGCATTCGGTCAATGCAACCTTCTCAGTCAGCAAGCCTGTCACTAGGTTCACACGATAGAATGTATCCTAAGAGAGAGACAAGGCAGTCCCCGCAAGACCATTTTGGCATCTTTGGTCCATCTGATTTTGGGATCAACAATCAGATGGGTACAATGTCCTCGCATTTGATTCTGCAGGATCTGTTGGAAGAACCACATGTATGTATGATTCTTCCCCTTAAGCAACCTGATCACTTCCATGTTCTGGTTGTGGTTATTTATGGACTATATGTGCTGTTCAGCAAGTTAGTGTGTTGTTCTTCTGTTTCGAGATAATAGTGTTGTATGTTACTTCCAGCCAACTTTTGTAGAAGAGAGAGGAAAATGGAGCATAATGAAGGACTTGGACGAGAAAACAATATGGACCAGCGATCGGATTCCTTTGATGGCATCATATAATCGAGGTTTATCATTCTTCCCTTTTATCATCTTGAACCTTGTCCCTCGCTGTCATGTAATCGCCCGGGGTTCACTTTCTGCGCAGGGCTATCACAGCACTCGGTTTGGGTTGCTGAAACAATCAATTCTGATTTTGAGGTGGCAAATGGTAGCTCAACTGATGGGGTTCCTTCGTGTCTATCCACCAAACCAATCGCCTTTCGAAGAATTTGGCAGGGGAAAGGTACCCGAACGGCAGCTTGTAAGGTGCTTCTTATCAACAGTTACAAGCTTTAGTGTGTTAGAAGTTTAAGTTGCTGACAATAATTTCATTTCACTATCCTGTGGAATGTCCTGTCTGATGCACTTTTCATGTTTACTAGGTTTTTCTGGCTACCGATGATGATGCAAGTCCTCTCATTTGTTTTCTTTTTCAAGAACAAAAGAAGCTGTTGTCTTTGAGACTTCAAGCAATTGATATCAATAATGAGATTGTCTTTGATATTCAACCTGACATGAGTTGGAGCATTCCGGCAATAGCAGCAGCACCTGTGGTTGTGACACGTCCAAGGTGATTCCTGAATTTCCCCCCTCTCCCCCCTTGTTCTTCTCCTCCTTCTCACTATCCTGTTTTTAATTGACTAAACTTCTGCTGATATCCGTTTTCTCTTCTTTCTCTTGACAGGGTGAAAGTGGGTCGGCTACCATATGCTGACATTATTGCTTTGGCCCCTGATAATACTCTTTTCCTTTATGTAAGTTGGCAAACCAGTTCTATGGGCTCGTTTCTTTTATGGTTACTTCTGTTAGCTGTTTTTTTTTTTGAAGATTCCAAGACTACTTTAGCTAGGCATTTTTTCATGTTTTTGTTCTGCCTTGCTTTTTGCATGTTCAAATACAGATGTAGCATGCACTTATGCACTAATATTCCTTTTAGTTGCTTATGTTTCTCGTGATTGACTCGTTATTACCACTTTTGCTTTGTTCCTTTAGTTTTTATACCATATATCTCTTCTGTAATGGAACTGGTTACTTGTGGTAATTTAGATACATTATCACTACTGTAATCTCTGCTTTTCTAATCATGATCATCCTTTCCTTCTCTTGTGAGCATAATTGTAATTAAGTTGGATTTGCACAATTAACACCTGAAAATTGTAGTCAGGACGGCAATGCCTGTGCAAATATTTGTTGCCATCGTGTTTGGGTATGGATCATCTTTCCTCTCCGCCGGAGCTCTCAAGTAGCACAGCCATTCACCAGGATTCAAAAGTTTTAGGATTGGCTGATGCCGTGGAGGGGCGGTTCAATCTGGTAGTAAACAATGGGCAGGTATTCATTCTTTCGTATTCCTGAAATAGCTGTTCCAAAACATATTACTGCTTCTTTATCATGTTTTGATTGGCTCTCCTCCTATATTGTTGTTTTTGGTGTAGGATCCAAAGACAATTCTTATTTCTCTAACATACTTTCTTCTTCTTTCCCTTTCAATTTGAGATTCCTAGATGTTTCGATGTCTTCTTCGGAGCAGCCTTTCATGTGCATTGGTGAATGATTGTGTCACTGCAATGGCTGATGAGCTCTCTCCTAGCTTGTACAACCATTTCCTTCTTCTTCTCTGGGGTGATAGTGATTCTGACTATTTGATGAATGGTAATTCCAGTGTGCACTCAGAATGGGATTCATTCTGTTGTGTCATACTCAGACTTTTTGGGGATTCTGGTTCGCTGAAGTATGTTAACTCGCCACAATCTTCATCTTGGGAATTCCTCATGCACAGCAACTTTCACAGGGATTACAGGAAATTTAACTTTATTGGTGGAATTTCCTCTTCATCACTTGACGTGGTGAAAATTGATTCCCAGGGATCCGTGAAGGAAGGCAAATTTAGTGTTCAAAGCTCGCTCCATTTGGAGCTGTTAAGGGAGACCTTGGGTTGTCTACATGCACTGTATGAGACTCTGAAATTGGACAGTCTACGGCAAGGGTAATAATTTTTCCCATAGTCTATATTTCTTGGATAGTGTAGTTGATGAAAAATTATTTTCCAGGTGTGTAATTGTACTGACTCTTTTGGTAGGTCTCTGCCATCGTTTTACCTTTATATACTTGTAGTTAACATTTTGGGTTTAGTTCCAGTTTCAAAATTGAATTGGATATTCCAAACTATGTATCTTGTTGCATTCTCTAAGCTTAGCAGCAAGAAAATATACTTAGCTTGAATTGGTTGAGCCTAAACATGAAATACCCTTACCTAACTTTAGAAAACGTACTTAGCTAAGTACCTACTTGCGTTCTCTGAACTTGAACTTCTGACCAAACTCATATAATGAAAATTGAATTGTAATTTACTTAACTGGGTGTTGTTTAATGGCAGAGGTTTTTCTTTGTGCAGGGACTTGGAACTTCTGGCCAACTTATTATGCAATATTGCTGCAGTTCTTGGAGAAGAAGGTTATTTAGATCATTATGTTCGTGATTTTCCTGGTCTTTATAAGAAAATCACAAGATTTGTTACTCCATCCCAGAAAGCTCCTCCTAGTTTATTCCGATGGCTTGAACAGTGTCTGCAACATGGTTGTAATTCTGCAAATGCGAGTGATATTCCTCCTCTGATTTGCAAAGATGGAAGTTCTGTTGTGAACTTGGCACGAAAGATAATTTCTTTCTACAGTGTGTTATGTGGTGGTGAACAGATCGGTAAGAAGGTATCTTCTGGAGTTTACTGTAACATTGCTCCAGGCTCGTTCTGTTCCAGTGAGGAGTTGACTGTCTTGGCAATGGTTGGGGAAAGGTTTGGACTGCAACAGCTTGACACACTGCCTTCTGGTGTGTCTCTTCCTCTGCGACATGTAAGTTGTATAACATATTCCCCTGTCTGACTGTGAGCACAGAGGTTTGAGAAACTTTTTGTCGTTGTGTTGTTTATTACCTTGAATCCTTGGAATTGATGAATGAAATTCTCCATCAAAAGGTTGTGCTAGAGGCCAATTTTAAGTAGTTTCATCCGAGGTTGCTCTGTCTACATGCTGCCTTCTAGTAAAGTGTATACTCATAGTCTGTGGACTTTGCAGGCTCTGAATGCATGCCGGGAGTCTCCACCTACTGACTGGCCTGCAGCTGCATATGTTCTTCTTGGCAGAGAAGATTTGGCTTTATCACGTTTGCCACCTTCCCTCAAATCTAGGGATCTCGAAAGCCGATCTGATATGAATTTAATCTCTATGTCTACACCTTACATGCTACATTTACATCCAGTGACCGTGCCTTCCACTGTTTCTGAAACAGTGGGACCAGAAAGTCCCCAATTGGAGGGTACAGATTCCTCTGATATGTGCGTGGTGGATGGGATGGAACATATCTTCACCTCTAGCACTCAGTTGCGTTATGGTCGTGATCTGCGGTTGAATGAGGTTTTATTTTTGTTCATTCTGTTCACAACTCATTCCCATAACTGAATTTTGCCTGAAAGTTGACAGTAAATTTTTTATTGGCACAGATGCAGGCACGTATATAAGATATGTAATAACTACTTAATTTTGTTATTAAAGTGGTCCTATTATTGCTTTGAGTAATTTCGTTTCTTGATTATTGTCCATGCTTCCTAAACATTGTCCATTGTGTTTACTTGGTTGTCTGAATTACAGAGTCTTGACACTTGCTTTAAATTCTTCTAGGTTAGACGTGTTTTGTGCTCTGCTCGACCTGTTGCTGTCCAAACATCTGTTAACCCCAGTGCTACAGACCAGGATATTCAGCAGGTATGTTTTGGCTACTCGCGTCTGATAGTTGTTGTCTTCTCAGGGTGCTGGCATATTTATATTTCAATATATGCATCTTTACTTGAAAGTTTGCTCATGTATGCAATGGTGTGAAATGTGATAGAGTTATGATGGATATTACTTTTTCAGCCCCAATCTTCTGATATTTTTTGGTTGCTGAACACTAGGCCGCCTCCAATGCATAAAAGTAACCCTAACATAGTTCAATCTTTTGGTTCATATTTCAACTGAATAGCGATTTAGATCCCTCTATCTAGAAGCATAGAGACGAGAGATTTTTCCACCTTGAGAAGTTTTTATTTATTTATTATTATCTCGAGGCTGAATGCTGTCAGTCTGTCAAAGAAATTTCAGTCACAATTCTAGTATTCTACTGTGTCATTGTTATACTTCTGCTACAGTTCCTGTGTATTTTCTTGCTGCTATTCTTATTGTTCTCTTGATTTTGCGTATAAGACTCAATTATGGCACCTTGCCCAAAGAACCACTGCTCTTCCTCTTGGTCGTGGGGCATTTACTTTAGCAACCATATCTACCCTTTTAACTGAGGTACGCTTTTCTATAGACATGCTTACATACTAATACCACCTATTATTATTATTATTATTATTATTATTATTATTATTATCATATTCATTAAATTTATTTTCATCTTCTACAGGCATTTGCTGTCCCCAAGCTTGTTTTAGCAGGTCGGTTACCCGCGCAACAAAATGCAACTGTATGTTCGTACTAGTTCTTGTATTTCAATTACATACATTTTTATATTCATATTCTGTTTACCTAATTTCCTTGTTCCTTTGGTCCTACCCCCCTCTCTTTGGTAGGTCAATTTAGATCCCAATATAAGAAATATACAAGAGCTTAAATTGTGGCCCGAGTTTCATAATGCTGTTGCAGCTGGACTACGGTTGGCACCCCTTCAGGTTTGTGTCTTTGATTTCTTTCTGGATTTCTCTTCCATTCAGCGGGGTAGATCTTTGACATTTTATCTAGTTGTGGCCTACTAATGGGATTTTCATAATGTTTTGTTGCAAGTAATGATATATGCTTATTCTGTGTCTGGAATGTTATTCCAATTTTATTTTCACTATTCCAGTTCACCTCTTGATGTGCAGGGTAAGGTGTCAAGAACATGGATACTTTACAACAAACCGGAGGTACCAAATGTTGTTCATGCTGGACTCCTCCTTGCGCTAGGGTTACATGGATATCTGCATGGGTTAACCATTTCAGACATATACAAGTATTTCACTGAGGTTTGATGTCAATTTTGTTTTCTTTTCTCTTTTGGTTTAATGGTATCGTTGTTTCCATTTTAGATGGTTTCATGTTATCACTTTCTCAGCGAGCTCTGAAGTTCTTTTGTCTGTAAACAAATGTAGGAACATGAAAGCACAACCGTCGGACTAATGCTAGGGCTTGCAGCATCTTATAGGGGAACCATGCATCCTGCAATATCAAAGGTAAAATTTGTCACCTGCAGAACACTTGTGATCTTTTCTTCTTGCTTATCTGTTGCTCTCAATGGCTGAAAATTTGTCCCACCTTCCATCGCGTAAGCACGGCCTTTGAGCATTGCTATGTTTTCACATTGAATGGTTGATTCAACGCATCTTCACTTGTGCTGTCTTTCTATGGTAGAATTTGTATTTAGTTCTTTTGTTTATTCTTTACTGGTTATATGATAGCTTAATTTTACTTTCTTGTTATGCAAACCTTCCTTGCTAATTCGTGAAGTGATCTCATTGCGATGTCTCTTACAGTGTCTATACTTTCACATACCTCCACGGCAGTCTTCTTCACTTGCTGACTTGGAGTTACCTTCCCTTCTTCAGGTAACTATTAGCTGCTCTCATCGTTGTTCTCATAACTTGATCTTATCTGCTCTTTCTTCTTCATGCTTCTGCGTTTGTGGTATATAGCTCTTTTAATGTATCTCTGGTGCAAATACCATAATAGACAAAGTATTCATGATTGGCCGTGCTTGTTAAGTTAAGTAATCAACTTAGTTATAAGTTATAGCTCTCACTTCAACTCTCCTCTCACACATTAAGCACTGCACTATTTTCATGCTGAAACTTGTTAGGAACTGATACCAAAGGATGATTCGGGTTCAGTAAATATGTACAAGATTTGTTGGAGCATGTCAGTTACTTAGATTGACCCTGAGTTGTGTTTTGTTGTCGTCTCAGTCAGCTGCTTTAGTATCAGTTGGAATCCTCTTCGAGGGGTCAGTGCACCCACAAACAATGCAGATTCTTTTGGTAATAATTTATGTTATCGATCTACTTGTCCAGTTTTTATTTTTGGAACTCTCATGGTTTTAAGATTGTCATTTTACATACTTCAACTTTGCAGGGTGAGATAGGTCGCAGAAGTTCTGGTGATAATGTACTTGAAAGGGAGGGTTATGCTGTTTCTGCAGGATTCTCATTAGGCCTTGTTGCCTTGGGTATTGGTTGCTTGACGATTATAGTAATTGAACTTTGAGTTAAATTTTTTTATGTTTTATTTTCATAACAACTTCCTCTTAACTGAAGGTCGAGGAAACTATGCATTTGGTTTAGTTGACAGTTTAGTGGATAGGTTGTTCCACTACATTGGCAGCAAAGAACTTCACCATGTATGTTGTCAGATTCCTTTTCTATATTCTTCTAGTACTATTATGACAGTAAGGCATGAAATTGTCCACCAGCGTAATCATTTTCTGTTTCAGAAATCAGAAGTTGGATTCTAATGTATCTCTGTATTATTTGTTTGCATGTTACCCAGCAGGAGAGGCCTTTATCATTTAATCTATCGGCCGATGAATCCAATCGTGGTGCTGGGCAGGTCGTCTAATGCCTTATTATGTTTCATAAGATCAACTGTCCAGAGACTAAGCTGAAATTCCTTTATTGCTTTCTCCTGTTCTCATTTCTTGTCATTGCTTTGCATTGCAACTGTTACAGATGACGGATGGAACCTCAGTTAGTATTGATGTTACTGCACCTGGAGCTATTATTGCCCTTGCTTTGATGTTTTTGAAGGTAATCTGTTGGAAACTTTGGGCCCTTGTAAAAGTAAAATTTATTTGGAAACACCATAATTTAATGAAGTTTGCATATTTTGGACTTTAACAGACGGAGTCAGAGGCAATTGTGTCAAGATTGTCTATTCCAAAAACCCGATATGAACTGCAGTATGTGAGGCCAGACTTCATAATGCTTCGTGTCATTGCACGAAATTTGATAATGTGGAGCAGGTAATACTCGTCTTGTAGATCATATCAGCACACAATTTCTTAGCCATGTGTGGCCTGCCTAATGTGTCAAAGCCCATGAGTTGTTTGTCACAGTGTGCAGTCCTCCAAGGGATGGATTCTCAGCCAGATTCCAGAGATTGTGCAAGCTGGAGTCAGAGGTCTTGTTGATGACATGAATGATATCGATGAAATGGATGCTGAAACATTTGTTCAGGCATATGTCAATATAGTGGCTGGGGCATGCATTTCTCTTGGTATTCTTGTCATAGTGCCTCTCTTCATGTTTGGGTGAGAACTGCTTCTGTATAAAATAATTGCTTCCTTGTGTAATCACCATTTTCAGGTTTGAGATTTGCGGGCACAAGGGATGGAAATGCACAAGAGCTGCTCTATGAATGTGCTCTTTACTTCCTGAATGAGGTACTCTGTCAAAAAATTGAGATGTGCTCTGCTGAATTGACAACTTTTTGTTTAGTACTGAATCTGTGTCCACATGTATCAGATCAAACCTGTAAGTGCTACTAAAAATGGTACTTGCTTTCCGAAGGGTTTGTCCCGTTACGTCGACAGGAGTACGTTGGAAATATGCCTTCACCTTGTAGTTCTTGCACTCTCTGTGGTATGTGGAATTTTTATTGCGTTTATATTCATATTTATCCTCTTTATTATTGACTATTTCATTACCACTAAAACAGTAGCTTCTGATATGCTTTTTTTGAGGAGTAGGTTATGGCTGGTTCTGGACATCTTCAAACATTTAGGTTGTTGAAGTTTCTTCGTGGTCGCAGCTCTCCTGATGGTCATACTAATTATGGCATTCAGATGGCTGTGAGTTTCAATTCCTAGATCCTCAGACTTCCTTCCTGCATTTGACGTTTCTTCTGTGTTGAGTTTGTTATTTAATAGTTAGACTCTTGTCATCATTAGTGAATTGAGGTTGAAGAAATACCTAGTGGGACTGTACCTTGTTAAGAAGCGCCAAAACGATGTTGCCTTACCTTTGGCTTTGTTTTTATCCGGCACTGACATTCTGCAACATGTTGACTTTAGGTAAGCATGTCGATTGGGTTCTTATTTCTTGGAGGAGGAATCCGGACATTTTCCACTAGCAATGGCGCTATTGCTGCTTTGCTTATTTCACTATATCCACGTTTACCTACTGGACCCAACGACAACCGTTGCCACCTCCAGGTGCACACAAATGCATTGGAGTCGTTTACCAAGAAACAACATTACATGCTTTCTGTTATGTGATCAGTGGCCACATTTTCTGTTTTGCTTTTCAGGCATTCAGGCATTTATATGTCCTTGCCACCGAAGCTCGTTGGGTTCAGACCGTCGATGTTGACAGTGGGTTGCCTGTTTATGTCCCCCTTGAAGTCACCATCAAGGAGACTGAAAATTACTCAGAAACCAGTTTCGGTGAGGTCACACCTTGTATTTTGCCCGAGCGTGCTATTGTAAGTCCCATGCAGTAACTCTATTTCTCTTAGCGAACAGTCCTTCGTGTTTTCCCCCTAATCTGACAAGGTTAGAAATGTGTTCTGTAACAGTTGAAGAAGGTGCAAATTTGTGGTCCTCGATATTGGTCACAAATAATCGAGCTTGTCCCTGAAGGTTAGTAGATTTCCTACAACAGCTTGGTTCCTACTGTTGTCATTGCAACATCTATGACTCTTTCGTACTCACTCACCCCTTGACCAGATAAACCTTGGTGGAGTTTTGGGGACAAGAACTCACCATTCAATTCGGGTATTCTCTACGTAAAGCGGAAGGTTGGAGCTTGCTCATACGTAGATGATCCAATTGGGCGGCAGTCATTGCTGTCCCGAGCAATGCACAAGGTGTTTTTTTTTCTTCTTTTTGAAGAATTTTCTTTATACTGTGATATCACTTCGGTCTGTGCCTTAAGGAAGGTGTTCATTTCCCTTTTTTCTTGTTCAGGTTTTTGGGTTGACAAGTGCGAAAGCATGGGAGGGAACTAACAACGGACATGGTTCTCTCACAGTTGATCAGTTGGTCAGTACATTCTCTTCTGATCCTAGCTTAATCGCCTTTGCACAACTCTGCTGCGATTCTTCCTGGAATAGCAGGTGAGCTTTTTAGATTTCTACTTCCATTTGTTGAATTCGGTTTTTCTTTTTTGCTCTCTATGCACCAACTATTCCTCTTGACATCCTCCATAACTGGTTTCCTCGAACCCTTCAAATATATCTTTAGGTCGGATGTTGACTTCCAGGAGTTTTGCTTGCAAGTACTATTTGAGTGCATTAGCAGAGACAGACCAGCTCTTCTTCAGGTAGTTGCCACATTCTCAACCCTTCTGTTTTGGCTTCACTTGCATGGTTTATTGTTTCTTATGTAGCTAAACACCTAAACCCAGTCCCTTTTCTCCTTTCACAGGTGTATTTGTCTTTATATACTACACTAGCTTCCATGGCCGACCAAGTCAGCAACCGGACTCTCATTTTCCGACATTCCCTTGTCATTTCCAGTCTGAAGGTAAATCTTCCCTGCTGGAGGTGAACCGTAGTGGAAACTGGGATCATAATGGTGAAATGGTTTGATTTGGGGACTCTGCACTTGGAAAACCAAACTTAGGAAACTGTCTAATTCTGTCAGTGAAAACCTGATCTTAAGTTGTACCGACTAGGGATGGGCAACCGGTGGGGTTTAACTGCACCGGACTGGAGTTGAGCCAAACCGAAACCAATTTTTTTGTGTTCAGGTGGTCTTCCTAACCACAAATCGATGAGCTCGTGACTGCAAACACACACCAAATTGGTTTCATTGCGGTTTGGCTCAACTGTGGCCACACTGGTTGCCCACCCCCTACAATCAACATGAACCCAATTCCCTTATATTTCCAGCCCGTTTCCCTTGTGGTTTTGCTGTCCAAACTGAACCTTAACTGCATAGTTTATACGTAACATTGCTCAATCTTTAGTTAACTAATCACAAAATGATTTCTTCGTTGCAGCTTGCACTCACGTACAACGAATCAGTCTTGAGAGGGAAGCTAACCACTTCACAGGGCAGCATTGTTCAGTCCACCTTCTTAGGCTCGATCAAGAAAAGAGTGGAAGAGCTCTTAACCCGATCCGAACTTTCTGTCGATCTCCGCTGCTACTTGAGCTCCGGGAGCTGGCCGAATGAAGAGCCCAACGCTGTGCTTCTTTCATGGTACCTCCAGTGGTTCGGAATGCCTACCCCGGCCACACTCAACGCCGCGGCAGCGAAGTTAAACTCCAAGAGGTTGCCGCCGTCTGTTCCCTTGTTTCGCTTGTTGCTGCCCAGAACCGATGTGAATGCAGTAAGCCATGTTGTTAATATGTTATCTGCGCAACAAAGCCGGTGAGACTTCTTTGGATGGTCGTTATGGCCTCCATACTACACCCTCTTATTTAAATTGGTCGATTAATGTATTAATCTCGTGTGTTGTAATATTATTATATACTAGTTATGTGGCACCCGCTTCTCTGTGGCGAGTAGGATAAATTCATTTGAAACGTACATTGATATGGTGTACAATATTTATATATAAAAAAATACGATATCTTTTTGGGTATGCCTACGGTGACTTTCAAGTTACTGTAACTTGGACAAAACGATCGACTTTTTTCATCAACTAGTCGACCACTTTTTAAGAAAATTGTCGACCTCTTCCACTAAGTGGTCTATCACTTGAGTCATTCGATCTACCACTTCCGGAAATGGGTCAACATAATGACACACTTAACTTCAAATGGTCAACCTCTTCCACCAAGTGGTCTACCACTTGAGTCATCCGGCCTACCACTTTCGAAAATAGGTCGATCTGATGACACACTTACTTCCTTGGAAAGTGGTCGACCTCTTCCACCAATTGGTATACCACTTGAGTCAATTGGTCTACCGCTTCCAAAATGAGTCGTCTTGATGACACAATTACCTTAAGTGGCCGATCTCTTCCACCAAGTGGTATACAACTCGAGGCAGTCGGTCTATCGCTTCTGGCAACGGATCGACATTTAACACATTTACCATCAAATTACAAGTTACAACTGCTTGTTGAAGTAGGTAGATTGCTTCCGCCAAAACAGCCTCCCGATTCCGCAAAATGGTTTACATATCTCTTTTCGCAAATGATCTCCGTTTTCGGCGACTAGTCGACCAGATAACACAGTTACCTTATACTTACATTAGGAAAATAATGGACAATATGAGACCAACAATATAATATTGTTTTTGTAGTAACGCAACATAAGAAATAAATATGTGTAACATTTTTCAAATCTACGGTAGAACATCCACCCGAGAAACTTGTCATCTATGCTTGTAGCCTTTGTACTAATTTTAAATCTCTTACTAGAAAGCATATCTAATTATCTATTGTTATTTGACACTAATTATATATGATGATATCACTAGGAATGTTTTATCAAGTGGATCAATTATTGAAGGAGGTGGACCGCATGGAGAAATAGGTAGACCACTTCACAGGGCATTGTTTTTGTATAGTGCTTTTTAGTGGAAGAGGTTGATTGTTTGTTGAACATAGGAAATGATATATAGTATATTTGGTTGGCCATTCCAACAACGAGGTCGACCATTTTGTCCAAGTAAGTCGACTATATCAGTGAAGAGGTCGATCGTTTTGTCCAAATAGGTCGACCTTATCATGGAATAGGTCAACCGTTTTGTCCAAATAGGTCGACCTCATCAGTGAATAGGTCGACCGTTTTGTCCAAGTTACGGTGACTTGCAAGTCACCATAGTAAAGTCCTGTCCTTTTAGATAATATGTTTGCTTTTAATATTATGTGATACTCGAACTTGAAACTTTAACTAATGTTTAGATATTAGATATGATATTTTGACACTACATATTATTGATAATTAGAGTATAAAATTATGGTATGTCTATAGTGAATTCAAGTCACTTTGACTTGGACTTTGACCGATGACACACTTTCAATGTGATCAAGGAAGGTGTGTGATTAGGATTTTAGGTTTCAATTATAGTGTTATAATCTCTTATCCAAATATGTATTACGAATGGCGAAATATTCAGTTACTGGAGGATCCAACCAAATTTAAATTGATTTAGTCAATAACAATTCAGCTGATATTAATCTTATGGTGAGTTTTTTTGGAACCCAACAAAGAGGATAATTGATTTAGTCAATAACAATTCAGCTGATATTAATCTTGTGGTTTTAGGGGTCGTTTGGAAGTTGTGATTATTCAAATTGATATATTGAGTTAATTAGTGTGTTATCATTTGATGTATTAATTGAATCAATTGATATATTAGTCAAATACTTTGTTTGGAAGTTCAGATTGTGCTTTTCTTGTAAAGCCACAAAAGTTAATTTTGAGTGATTGATGAATCTCTACTTTTTGCTGAGATTGATAATCCCTCAATTTTGAGTGATTATGGTGGGACCCCAAAAAATTAATGCATGTATTCTAGTTCAACATAAGCCAAAAAACGACTGAATGTCACAAATACATGAATTAACTCAATATACTATTTGAAATACGACCTCTTGGTATTTTATATATCAACACGGATTCAGGTGGGTTCAGGTCCTTAAGGCCCAAACCTTAAGAAGTTTCTTAAGTGAATAACAGCCATTAGATAGATTAATCTGGGTTAGTTGTAAAATAGTTTACGGTTATTTAGTAGTTAGTAATTATTAAGGGTAAAATAGCGGGTTATGGAGAAAGTTATGGGAGGAAAGAGAAAGAGAATAATCAATTATTAATATTAATTATATTTGTAATGCCTTATTTATTTTTAACTACCTATTAACTACTAACCCCTTATTAACTACCTAATCCACTATCAACCAATAGAATAACTTAAGCAATATGCTTAAGCTTTTGGGCTTAAGCATAGGAACCCAGGCCGTAAAATAGGGTATTTTGTTTAGGTTTTCAATATTTCCTTTTCAGTTACTTTATACTGCCGGCGAGATCAATATATCTTTACGTTAGTTTAAAAATTTCATTTCTCTCACCAAAAAAAAAAAAATTTCATTTCTCAAGCTTCCCGTTGGTGTTGCAGCCTGCCGTCGTCAGGAGCGAAGAAGTTTCCCGTCGTTGAGCTCGAGCTCCAAGGGTCAACGTTGCAGCTTGCCGTCGTCATGAACGGAGATGCTACCTGTTGTTGAGCTCGAGCTTCCAAGGGTCAGAGTTGCAGACTTGCAGCCCGCCGTCGTCCTGAGCGGAGAAATTTCCTGTCGTCGACTTCGAGCTCCCAAGGGCCAGCGTTGCACCCTGCCTGCCTTCGTCTTGAGCGGAGATGTTTCACGTTGCGAGTTCCAAATCTTCCCGCGGCCTTGAAGCCTCAACGTTGGCGGGTTCTAAATCTTATCATTTGAAGGTCCTTAATTATATAATAACGTTCACGAGCATTATTTGAATACTGTCCTTGTTGTCATATTGGTTCAGTTGTTGCTTGCTTGGCGAGTTAACAACGATAAGTCGATAATAAAAGAGATATTATGCACTATCATTATTAACGTTTGCATTCTAATTATTAATGTTTTAATGTTCATTCCTATTTAGCAATTACATTATCAATGCTTACACTATTAACATTTTCTTAGACATACGTTAATTAACTATGTATTGTAACATTATCAACGTTTAAACAAGGTATCATTAGCAATATACCGTTATATTATCAACATTTCATCAATATTATTAACATTTTTAAAATAATTGTTAAGATTGAAACATAATGTTATCAAAACTTATAAGGCTTTTTAGACAACCGATGAGAGCAATTTAATATAACGTTATCAATGTTTATGCCATATATTATTAACAATCTACCGCAATTATTATTATTAACGTTTCCCACAATAGTTTAGAATATTTGAAAGATCATTATTGACAGACCTATTACAAACTCTCGAGGACCATCCAACGGAACGTCTGAATAATTTACTGCCCCAATAATTTACTGCCATCTGTTAACTTATTTAATTTAGAAAATAGAAAAATAAAACTATAAAAGGTTAAAGAGAAAACCGCTTTGATTGGAAGGATAGCGGCAGAGAGGGTATCTACCGGCGCCGATTTGGACTCCATCCCACAAATGACATCTTCCGGCGCCGTCGAACTCTACTTAATTCCCGATGGAATCATGGTTCATCAACCATCTCCTTACACATGTTTTAAATATTTCAATATTGAGAGAAAAAAAATTAAATCCCTGATTCTGCGGGGAAGATAGCGGCCGGTTCGGATCCTTATTTCTGGGTAGCTTTTATATATATATATTGATGCAGATTTATGTCATCAAATACCTCATTCGTTTGGCGTCCCTCTACCAGCTACGGTGGCCGGAACATGGGTGACAAAGTGTGTTTAGCAATTCGTCGGCGGTACTATTATAGATCCACTCCTGTGGCAGAGCATGAGTTTTCACACGAGAATTCAGCAATTTGTTTTCTTTTTTGTTTCTGAAAAGTTCAAAAGGATTAAGTCGGCATCTTCGTCCGTAATCCATCGCCTATCTTCCCACGCACAGAGAAACCATATATAATCGGCGTCGGCAGGGAGATGTTCAGGCGAACAATTGATTCATACTCAGTCCTAACCAAATAAAAGACGAATCAATAAGTTAGAACCTAAGAAAATCATTGTTGGTGAGAGATGCCCTAATCTTACTTTGCTTAGATGGATTCTAAACCAACGCCTGGAAATTACCGTCCGCGTCCGGCAGTATCGGCAACTAGGGATGGCAAAAATATCCGCAACCGTGGATATCCGCCCGAATCCGACATAATCGGGTAGGGTAAAACTCGAACCCGAAGGACTTTTAGTGGGTACGGGTAAAACCCGAACCCGAATATTGCGGGTAATGGGTGGGCATGGTTTTCTCACTATCCAACCCGAACCTGCCCGATTATACACATGCATATGTATTTAGTTTAGAAATAATCAATATTTTTGTCTAACATATTTTATGTTTACCATATAAGTATAATATTTTTTGGAATTGTGTTGTTTAATTAATTTTGTTCATTCTAGTGAATAATTGTCGTACTTTTTGTCTTACATAACGTGAGAATAAGTGTGAATATTAATATATTGGTTGAAGTTATAAAGAGAAACCATTACCCATGGATAACCGTGGATACCCGAAACCCGAACGGGTATGGGCACGGTTTGGATTTTCTACCCGTTTCTTATGTGGGTATGGGTATGGGTAAAACCCGAACTACTTTGGGTAGGGTAACGGATATGCACTATCCGTCCCCGACCCGACCCATTGCCATCCCTATCGGCAACCCAAAATAAGAGTTTTGTTTTTCCAATTTACTTTATTTAAAGGCATGTTTTAATTGGGACGGTGCATGGCCTAGGTGGTACACCGGGTGCACCCAAGATTTTCTCCGTCTTATGAAAGCGTGATTGCTGAATGAACATAATTCTCTCCTTAATTTGCGTGGGTGGTTGTGTTGCGGGGAAGGGAAGGGGATGCATGCGGCAATGTTCAATTTCTCTCCTTAATTTTTGTTAATTATTACATTAATTATTTTATCAGAATACCTTATTTGTCCTTTTAAGTAGTTAGACACAAATTTTCTCTCTCCTCTTGTTATTGACTAACGAAAACTAGGGTGTGAATTTGGGTTCGGTTTTTCAGGTTTACCCGAAACCGACCCGATTATATACATTTTCGGTTTTCGGGTTCGGGTTCGTTTTCGGGTTCGGTTTTGCTTATCGGTTTTTCGGGTTCCGGCTAAAAACTTCCAATGAATAGAACTCAGCCTGTATTTTTAGGCGTTCGGCTTTTTGGGTTTCGGTTTTGCTTTAACCGAACCCGAACCCGATAAGGAATTTTCGGGGTTTCGGGTAACTGGAACCCGCAAGACCTTATCGGGTTCGGGTTCGGTTTTAGTGATTTTCGATTTCGGGTTTTCGGGTTTCGATTTGGGTAACCGAACCCGACCCAAACTGACACCCCTAACGAAAACTTAAGAAACTCCTAAAGTTTTAGGTTTAAGGACTAGATCCAACCCTACACTGATTCCACCTAAATGTTTGGTACAAGAATGTTTAGGTTCACTGTTTCAACTTTCAACACTTCGGCCTTTATATTCCTCGTGTCTATCATCGTTATTATAATTAATGTCTTAATGATTTTTTTTTTAATTGAGTGGAGGCTGTATTAGGCTAACTCCAATGGAGCCTCTATAAATGAGGGAGCCTCTATATTTGGGGGAAAGTTGACTCCAATGGAGCCTCTATAAATGGAGGAGTCTCTATATTTGGGGGAGATCTCCAAAAGGATCCCCAAATTTGGGGGTGGAAATGGGGGTTCCCCCAAATATAGAGACTCCCCAAAGCCCGCCACGTGGCGTTTCTTTTTCTTTTTAAGATTTTAAGGGTTAATTAGGGTTTAATTAGGGGATTAGTTAGGGGTTTAATTAGATCAATAATTTTCAAGTGTTGTGTGTAAACCCAAATTAGGTCAATCATTTTTTGTCAACAAAAATTTGGTCTCAAAATTAAAAAAATTTCTACCGGAAAATTTGTATTTAAAAATGAAGAAGAACTATACAAAAATTAACATGAACAAATTATATTAAGGCTTCGATAACTACATTTTTAAGTAAATGAAAAACTTAAAAAATAGAGATCTCCAAATATAGAGGATGTAGCATTGGAGCAAAAGAAGGGAAAATGGGGATGAACCCCAAATTTGGGGATGACTTGCATTGGAGTTGGTCTAACAGCCCAGGGATTCAATCACAAGATCAAGACCTTATATTTAGGGATGGCAACTTTGTCCATACCCATGGGTTTCTTACTATCCAACCCAATTGGGTTGGGTATGAAATCCAAATAGATGGATATGGGTAGAGAATGATGGGTTTGTACCCATACCCATTTACTTTGGGTTGAGTTGTATTTATATCAAATGGATTTGGGTTTGTACCCATGCCCAAATACAAATTACAATTTGGTACCCAAACTTAATAGATATGCATATTTAGTACCTAAAATTAATTTTTTTTGCATATAAGTCCTCAAAATATCGATGGAAAATTACGTTTTGGTACCTATTTTTTTTGTCTTACATTTTGATACCTAAAATTTTCAAGTTTTACAAATAGGTCCAATTTTTGCATGTGTAGTTAAAACACCCTCAAGTAAATGGATATCCATATCCAACCCATACCTATTTAGATTATGGAAGCAATATTCATACCTTATCAATGGGTCTACTTGGATTTGGGTATAATTACCCATGGGTGGGTAATTTGCCATCCCTACTTATATTGCTCCCTACTCCTAACACCCAGGAAACAGAATAAGGCCAAAGAAAAGCAAAAACAGGGGCGAGCCCTCTACACACATACATAGCAACGCCAAACAAAGACCCAATCTCAGGAGCATAGTCCCATGTAGGAAACCTATTTTTAGGGTTCCAACGATTGTGTCGGGAAATTGGGAATTGGTAGAGATTTAGGGATTGAGAAGAGAATTAGGGATTAGGAACAGAATTGGGGAAGAACAGAAAGAACGGCCGAGGCCTCTAGAGAGGAGGATAGACGAGATTTGAGAGAGAAAGAGATTAGGGTTTTGGGAAAGGATGACTTTTCTATTAATTTCTGCTTAATCTGACGAATGACCCAAAGTACATATATATAGGGAAATACTAGAAAACCCTAAGAATAAACCTAATTCTACTAGAAGACTACTAACCATAATAAGAATTATCCTAATAATGATTATAATAATAATACAGAAAAATCGTGTTTCCCACATCTCCTCCCCCTTCAGACCAACCTTGCCCTCAAGGTTGGCTGACTTGACCCATTTCTTCCAATCTTCTCGCCCAATCCACAACTTGCTATGATAATCCAATTGGGCTCCAACAAGCTCAGCGAAGCCTACCTCACGAACCAGCCAGCTCTTCCCGCGTCCAAAAAATGGCTCACTCTGTTGATCCTTAGCATGCTCGGGCCCAGTCGCTTGGCCCAAGGAAAAGGTATGCGGCTGTTGCACTCTGCTGCTTCTAGGGTTTGCGAGAAGAAAGCTCCCACCTGCCGCCTCCGCCGCCGAGTGCTCCCCCGCGTCGACGTCCACGGCTTCCTTCTCCGCCTCGGTTGCCGCCGCCCAGCCTCGGGGCTCGACCTCCTCCGCACCGGTAGACTCCTTCTTCCGGAACCTCCAGTTTGCTACCCGCCTTGGTGTTGATTTTCTCCCGGTAATTTCAGACTTGGTTTGTTCTTCAAAGACCAAGTCCTTCTCTTCACTTGGAACAGCAGCAAGGGCGACTAAGGGTGCCTTCTGTTCATCCCGTCCAGGATGCTGCGGTTCTGTCATGGTGACGGTTATGGCTGTTGCGGCTGGTGTCTCCTCAACGGCCAGCTGCTCTTCGACTTGAGCCTTGAAGCGGAGAGTGCCTAGGGAGGGCAATCCAGCCACCGAGTGCAGCGAGAGGGTCGGCGCTGGTTCGCTGGTTGCGCGCTTCTCGTCGGCGTCAACTACCGCAGCGCGCTGCTCGGATCGCCGCTCACCATCACACGGGTCGGCCTCGACCGGCGGTGGTGGGCGCTCGCTGTCGGCTACTCGGGTCACCGTCTCTGCTTGCGCGGTCGGCGACTCTGCGGAGCTCCAACGGCGTCCGATACGGCGAGCCCGGTCACGCAGCTCTGCCCACGACAGGTTCGAGAGCTTTGAAGAGCTCATCGTCGAACCAGTTGTAGAACTCGTCCCCGGTTGAGAGTTGTGGCGAACTCAATTCTCGAAACCGGGCTCTGATACCAGATGTAGGAAACCTATTTTTAGGGTTCCAACGATTGTGTCGGGAAATTGGGAATTGGTAGAGATTTAGGGATTGAGAAGAGAATTAGGGATTAGGAACAGAATTGGGGAAGAACAGAAAGAACGGCCGAGGCCTCTAGAGAGGAGGATAGACGAGATTTGAGAGAGAAAGAGATTAGGGTTTTGGGAAAGGATGACTTTTCTATTAATTTCTGCTTAATCTGACGAATGACCCAAAGTACATATATATAGGGAAATACTAGAAAACCCTAAGAATAAACCTAATTCTACTAGAAGACTACTAACCATAATAAGAATTATCCTAATAATGATTATAATAATAATACAGAAAAATCGTGTTTCCCACATCCCAAAAGGTCTATCTAGCAACGTGAATCACCGTTCAAGGGAAAGAAACTCCTATAATATCTTCTCCGACGAGCCTCCCCAATTCGTTGGGTAATTCGGTCAGTTCATACGTACTAAAGGGATAGACGAGACTGTGCTTCGAGAGCCAGTCCGCGATTCTATTCCCTTCACGATACGTATGTACCAACCTAACCACCTAGTTCCGAGCAATCAATCTTCTAATTGCGTTAAAAATCGTTGACATTATTAAAGTTTATGCTGGTATTGAAAATCGTTAATAACGAATGAGCAAAGTCATCGATAAAAAATTAAATTTCTTTAAAAATCAATACAAATTCACTAATAATATTTCGATTGAATTGCAACCGTCAAATACTATTAAAAGTGTTTAATACAATGGTTTACACCATTGAAAACAAAAAATACATTCTCAGAAGGTTATTATCTTTCCAACACTTGAAAGAAGCCTATGTAAAACAAGGACAGTCTGTTTTCATCATCTGCTGCGTATTCCATGCAACACAAAAGGACTAGTTCTCCAACTTCATTAATCATGATCCACATTAAGGGAATGTCCCCTGAAAAGAATATTCAGTCTTTTGCCTCCTCTATTCTTGTATTCTTAGAATGTATATAAATCAACAACTCCTACTCTACTCACTGGTTTTGGTTTCCCATGATGAATTGAAGTTACTCTTACCGTGTAGAACAAAGAAAATATATATGGGTGTTTGATCAATTCTCAAAACACTTCTCCATCAAAACTTCTTTGCAGGCTGCAAACTAGAAAGAACAGTGCTCAGAGGGTGTGCGTCAGCATTCGATCCGAACAGCACCACTCTGCGAAGAAACGAACTTGGGCTTCCGAATGACTTGCTCCAAGCACTGGATCACATCTCCGACACGGTAATCTTGGCAATCACGGAGCACCATCCCGCACTCACTCCCTTCACGAACTGAATCCACATCTTGTGTCTCTCGCTTGAGCGACGAGCAGCATCCTTCAAACACGACTTCACCGCTCCTAAGGAGCCTCATCGTCGATGCTCTACTGACTCGTCCGTCTATCACCTTGCAGCCCGCGATCTTCATGTCGCCTCCAGCAGCTTTGCTCCTCCCCTTCAGTTCGAAGATGCTAAGGACTTCGGCCTCTCCAGCTACGTGAGTCTCGGAAGTCCCGGGAGCTTTCTCTACTATCATGTTGCCCACATCCTCTAAAAGGCGGTAGATGACTCGATGCAGCATGATCTGAGGATTCATTCAACCAACCCATTTAACGAACAAATGATCGAACAATTCCTGGAGAATCTGGATAAAGAAAACAATCAGAATTGTACCTTTACATCGGATTTAGTTGCTGCAAGACTGACTGAACCCGGTGGAGTTTTGACATTGAATCCAATTATGCAGGCACCACAAGCCTGAGCTAGGTCGATATCGGATTGACTGATTGGACCCACGCCTACATGGACTACATTCACGAAAACCTGGTAGCACCATCCCAATGAACACGATATTAATCAATAAGTGAAACAAGAAGATAGCTATGGAAAGTTAGAATGATGTTTCGCAGTTTCCGAATGCTATCAAATGACTCTGGCTCATGAACTGATCACACTACAGCTAAAATGTACGAATAAACAAGTTTCTCAACTTTTTAAGCTTGAACCGATGCTAGTCACGAGATGAGACATAATACTGTTAGCAGTGGCGTAGCCAGACATCGAGTCCACTGGGGTCCTTAAAATTTTACTAACATAAATGCTTGTGTACCTAATGAATTTTGAGTTAACCGGGGTCCTTGGTGAGCTAACATCGTTGAGAGTATGGGGTCCTAAACTTGAATTATCGTACTAAAACCTATGTATTTAAAGGGTTTTGTTGCCCAATTATTTGCCAAGTGGGGTCCTAGGACCCCTCTCCTCCTTACCTCCCTCCGCCACTGACTGTTAGGCATAATACCTGAGGACTGTTTAAAGTCTTCAAAGCATCAGTGACAGCCTGGACAGTTCCTTGAACATCTGCTTTCACTACGATCGGCATCTCAACCCTTACAGCTACAGGCCCGTCTTCTTCTGATGGTTCCTCAACCACAGGCCTGTCCTCCATGATCTGTCTCAGCCGATCTTTTTCGAACTTCTTTTTCCTACCAGCACTCAGCATTCTAGCTCTCTCCTCAGTCTCCACAACTACGATATCATCTCCGGCCCTAGGAAGCCCCTTCAGCCCTTCAAGCACAACCGGCATCGCAGGTGTCGCCTGCTGTGCCAACTTCCTCACCATATCCCTTATAGCTCTTATTCTCCCCCACTCTGACCCCACCACAATATGCTGCCCAGTGACCAAGGTTCCTGCCTTTACTATTGCTGTAGCCAGTGGTCCACGACCTTTGTCCAATTTTGCCTCCACAACATAAGCTTGAGCTGGACCATCGACACGAGCTTTCAGGTTCATCAACTCTGCCTGAAGAAGCAAGCATTCTTCCAAGTCATCCAACCCGGTTTTCTTAACAGCAGATACTTCAACTACCTGGACATCACCACCCATTTCCTCTAGCTGCAAACCCTCTGATGCCAACTGAACTTTGACTCTTTCTGGGTCAGCAGCTGGCTTGTCACATTTGTTGATTGCAACCACTATGGGCACATTGGCTGATTTTGCATGGGACATAGCTTCCAAAGTTTGAGGCATCACCCCATCATCAGCAGCAACTACAAGTACGATAATGTCAGTGACTGCTGCCCCTCTTGCTCGCATTGCACTGAATGCAGCATGGCCTGGCGTGTCAAGGAATGTGATTGATGCGCCAGAAGTCATCCCTACCACGAAAGCACCAAGGTGCTGAGTTATTCCACCAGCTTCAGTGGCTGCCACTGCTGTTTGGCGTAGGGCATCCAGAAGAGAAGTCTTTCCATGGTCGACATGACCCATGACTGTAACAACTGGTGATCGTGGAAGGATTTGTGAGCCTTCGTTAGAATGTTGCCTCCTGACATTGACCCCAACCTCCTGCAAGGACCGATATGAAGCCATTTCCTGTAAGCTTCTAACAGGAAAAAAGCATTTTGGTCAAAGAAAGATGATGAAATAGATCTATTGTGTTGTAAGGTCCCCATGACCCTAGCCGAGAGTCTAAAATCAATCATGTGGAGCATTGGTTATGAACTGGCCAATCATAAAAGTATTGGTAATCAAATGACAGAAATTCAAATTCTGTCAGTAGAGATATTACTGATTACAAAAGTAATTTTTCCCATCCTGTTAGGTACAAGCATGGGTATGCTTCTTTTTTTTTTTTTTTTTTTTGCACATAATGAGACAAGAGAAGTACCATAGCAATGAGCTCCGCAACATCAATGCTGAGAGGATCAAACTCTGACCCGGGCTTTTCCCCAACATTAACAAGAACATCCTGTAAGGTGCTGATTGACTCACCAGTACGCTTGGCAAGTTCAACAATGGTCATGCCTTCAAATATGTCAACCATTTTATCTAGAGAGGACTTCATATGCTGTTTTAGTTTTGGGGGCACGTATTTAGCTTCAACAGGCGGTTTCATCTGTGCCTTGTCCCTTCTCTTAAACTTCCCTTTCCTTTCTGTCTTTAAACCCAAGGCCTCATCAATTGCTTTTCTACTATATAGAGCCGGAGTTCCATGAAAGTACCTGTTCAAGATAAGAAATGGTTTCCTCATTCCAGGTCGAAAGTAGAAAATGCGTTCACAAACATTTAAGACAAATGAAACACGAGAGATGGAAACATCAAAGGAAAAGGGGAAACACAGTCCTATTAATGAAATGGAGATATCAGAATTGCCAAGAGTGCTTTGCTGTATGCTTGCCACATTCAGTTCAAACTTATCCTACTTTTTTGCCTCTTTTGTAATGAACTAAACAAATGCCTGATTAGAGTAGGACAAAAGAGCAAGATGATGTACCACTATACTACATGAACCGGAGCAGGATCTCCGTACTTCTAGGTCTAATTACAGAAACCATCTCTGATGAGAGATCCAGCAGAATAAAGAAGAAGTGATAAACAGAAAAGGCAGTAGAAACAATAACTCTTCTCTGCAGCACACTAACAATTCTAGTAGCCAGGGAACAGAGATGACTGATTGCAAGAGAGTAGTGAAACTATGATCCACTTGAAAGATGCATATTAATGTACCTGATGAAGGATTCTTTAGTGAGAACATTGCCATGAGAACTCCCTGGTGAAAGAGAGCCGCTAGTAAAGCCTGCAACTCAAATGTCATACAAGTGAGCCAAGGTAGTGAAACCAAACTTTCTTATCTATAGCTTCAGAACGCCAACACAAGCACAACCCTTGAGAATTAAGATCTTCATTTATAAAATAAACTCATGTCAATTGATATCCTAGATAAATAGTTGATACGCAGTTGATGCCTTAAAATGCAGCTCAGGAAAGTTTCTAAGAAATAATTCTGTAGACCAGACCAACTAACTAAACTGAAAATGCAGAACTTCTGCGATTAAGTTACAAGCAAGCAGACAATATATGTTTTCGCCAAACACATAACATTGAATCGAGTGAACATCCATATTGCAGGTTACCTTGTCTACTACTAGAAGCTGAAACTGATCTCGCTGCAATGTCAAGATTAATTTTCGAGGTTAACCTAACTAAATGTTCTTGAGATGATAACATGGCGCGTCTGCCCAGAGGAGACCGAATACCCTGTAAAAAGGAGAGAGTTAAGATAGAACTTTGTCAATGCCAGACATACCATTGCAGAGTTTCACATTCGAACCCACATACGGATAACAATACGGATAATAATTGACAAATACAATACAGCAGCTAACTATCTCGTTTTTTGGTGACTGAGGAAAGGAAGTACATTACTGATAGGAGATCTCTTCTTAAAAGTTACAATATAGGCATAACCAGAATAAATCTGAAAAATAGAAGGGAGAAGTCGAGAACTGAATGCATGACCAAGGGATTTATGTAAACTGTGATATCAAACATAAGATCGCACTTTCATGGTCCCAAGATAAAAGCCAAGATGAGGGATTGAGTTTACCTAGCCATAAAACAGAAACTTAAGCAAGTTTGGCTCATAAATAAGTAGTTACAGGTTAGAAGCATGTGGAAAGTGCATCCTCGTTGATTTAAGGGTTAATATTTTCGTATGGCCTGAACGTTGACCAAAATAAACATCCTGGCCAATCTTTTCGATCTATAACATCCTGGCTCGAACTATACACCCAAATAAACAATTTGGCCAGTGACGTGGCGCCTTGACCGTTAGTCAACGCGTTTGATCGTTCAAGTTAACGGTCAAACATCGGGTTTGGCCAAATTGTTTATTTTGGTGTATAGTTCTGGCCAGGATGTTATAGATCGAAAAGATTGGCCAGGATGTTTATTTTGGTCAAAGTTGTGGTCATACGAAAATATTAATCCTTGATTTAAATAAGAAACACCATCATTTCAAAACACAATACATAGCATATAATTCAAGAGTAAGGCATCCATGATAAGTGTCTCGATCACAACCACATTTCATAATCTCAGTTGAAATCTCATAAACTCGCAATGTTTTGTGAAAGTCTTCGATACAGAAAAAAGTTCAAGAACATAATGTACCTTTCCACCAATCGCACTCCAAGCCATTGAAAAGCTTCTGCAACTCTGCAGAAACCATTAGGAAGCGAACAATTAGTGAGAAGCATCCAAAACCATCACCACAAAAGAAAAGGGGGAGGACAAATCAAGCAACAAAAGAAAAAGAACCAAACTTTGTATAATTTTCCGTAACTGATAAACAACCCAAGAGGAGGAAGGCACCAAACCCAAACAGAACCCTTCAATTGATACACAAAGCCACAAAAACAAACAGCGCCACAGACGAATCGACGCCACAATCCAATTACCGACTAAGAGAACGGATCGTTAACGAAGAGCTCGCAAGTATCAAACTTCTTGCCTGCTTCGCATCAATGAGCTCCCAGACGAGCGAAAACTATCTCCGCTGCTCATTGCATAATTTAGCTCTAACGAGATGAGAACGAGCGTGGCGCATGCAAAAGATTCAAACTTGGAAGCTGCGAATACGAAATTCAGGCGGATAACAGGGACAAGCGGGAGCCGAGGTTCTCCCGGCGGCAACTGGTACTCCGACAATACGGTCGGGGGTTTGAGGTTTTTCATGCGAAGCTGTGATTGGGGAAAGGATATATCATATATCACAATTTACAAGTTGCGACACATTTTTTAAGGATTAAGTGTCAAACAAGCTCTCAACTTTGGAACTTTAACAAACTAGCCCCTCAATTTTATTTTTTAGCTAACAACACCCCATCCATTTTTTACCCAAAAGTGATTAGATTAAGTGCTTCAGATGGGCAAATGAGGGTAGCCTAGTTGGTGAATCGGCACACTTCCCATTGTAAGATCGTGTGTTTGATTTCCAGTAACGACACTTTCCTTTTCCCCTCTAGTAGTATCTTGTAACAGGTTATTATAAAAAAAAAAAGTTAGTAACAATAGGGCAGTTCATAGTGTGGCTAGAAAAGCCATCTCTTTGTTTTCTGTAGGGTGTATTGGGTTTGATTTCGATGGTTGGCTCTCTGTGGAGGTCGTCGATGTGTAACTTATTGTTTCTTGTTATTGCAAGTGATCTTTTCGTTAAAAAACTTAATTAAATCGAGCGGATTTTTTTTTACATTAGGGACCTTTATCATTGTATTAGAGCCATTTGCAGAGAGTCACCTGTTATATCGCAAAAAATGGACAAGAGATGGCTTTATAAGTTCCCTAAAGAGGATCAAATAATGTAGAAATGTGTGATCCTTTTATATATGTTATGATTTTGGAGGACCATTGTGTAGTTTGTCATGCTTAACCCTAATACTCATGTCGAGTATAAGAGGGCAGTGTTATGACCTTCGGCGAACAAGTATTGAAGTCGTGTACAGTGAGTAGACGAGCTGCGGCTAATAAGATTGACTCGAGCTTCGGCTCACCGTGGAGTAGTCTCGTTCACATCGAACGGGGAAACCACGTACATCGTTGTGTTTTGCTTCCGCAATCTACTTTATTTTACATGGTATCAGAGCAGTAATCGATTCATACCTTGAAAATCGAGATGACTGGCACGGACAACAAGCTTGGTAAAAGCGGCACATCGCGGAACGCTGACGTGATTCCTCTCACGTCACCTCTATATCTACATCTATCTGAGAATCTCGGACAACTGTTTGGGAGTGATTTACTCACGGATTCGAACTACAACGAATAGGTTAGTGATATGGCTGAAACCCTAATCGCGAAAAACAAGATGACTTTTGTCGATGGCTCTCTCCCTCGTTCAAAAGCCGGTCCTGGAATCTTTAGTTGAGGCATGGGGGCGTTGTGATGCCACTATTAAGGGTTGGCTCAAGACGATCATGAGGAAAGAAGTCTGAAATAGCATCAGGGGTGCCAAGACGGCATGTGATATTTGGGCCGACTTGAAGCAGCGGTTTGGCACTAGCTCCGCTACACGTGCCTATGAATTACGAAAGATGATCAGCTCCTTCCAGCAGGACAAACTCAGTGTGTCCGCTTTCTACACGACCTTGCACACCTACTAGAATGAGCTGCAGGCGGTCACCATCAACCTGCGTTTCTCATGTGGGTCTTGTAGCTGCGATGTTGCCCAACAAGCACGAAACAAAGAGGACACCGAGCGCATGTTCGATTTCTTACTCGGCCTTGATGATGCCTTCTCGGTGGTGCGCACTCAGACCCTCATCTTGAAACCCATTCCAACCCTCACTAAAGCTTACCAACTGGTGGCTTCTGAAGAGCAGCATCGGCAGATCATAGGGACAGTCATCCACCTGTGGAGGCAGCCGCTTTCCTAGCCCACAAGGAAAGGGATGCCGATGACGAAAGGCCGAGCTGCTCATATTGTAACAAGTTAGGGCACACTAAGGAAACGTGTTTTAAACTCGTTGGCTATCCTGGTGATCAAACGAAAGGCAAGTAAGGTAGTCGTGGTGATCGACAGGGCGAAAATGATGACAACGGTCCTCGTAAAGCAAAAGGTGAAGGAAGAGTGAATCCTCGAGCAGCCAACGTGGATGTTGAGGACACCCCTATCCTTGATTTTTGAGAAAATCAATTTGAACGACTCAATAATTTTTCTCGACACCACTACCGGCTCATAGCGAACCAACATCTCACATGGCCGATAATAATCCTGAACTCTATGGATGGCTTATCGATTCTGGTTGCAACAAACATATAGTTCGGGATTTGAGTTGGTTAGATACAGTCGATACTACATGACTGACTCGCTCTGACTATCACAATAAAATCTCACCTAAGGCCCAAGTATAAACCTTAGATGGGTGCAATATAGGACAAGAATGTTTAAATATCGACCCGGGCCGACCCATGTACCGCTACTTCTACTGTTTGAAACATTATCTAGCGGATTAGTTTTTGGTGAAAACAAAGGTCTAAAACTAGAGTACTTTGCAAAGGTAAAATGGATGTGACACTAATTGAGAAGGCTTCACCCGGGTGTTGCTCCCCCTAGCTAACAATTACGACTTGAAGAATCGAACGATCGTGTGTGATTAGGGGGTTATAAACCGCGGGGAAGTCTAACAAGTAACCAAGGCTACCCTCTTAGTCTCTAGGTTGAGGAAATGGGATATGATCCAAGCCGCTAATGCGACCCTCTCAACCTATCGACTAAGGAATGGTTAGACTTCACCCTCGAATTGGAGTTCGGATGGCCACCCACAACCAAACCCTAAGTGCTAATATGAAATAGGAGGTTTGCCCTTAATTAACCTAGAATAGGATGCATGAAATTCCCAAGGAAACCCATCTCTAATAGAGCCTCTTAGGTTAAGGAGGGTTCTCTCTAAACTAGTCTATGAGGCTTTGAATGCCCAAGGAAACCCAGCTCAAATTGAGCCTCTTTGGATAAAGGAGGTTTCCTCTCTAAACTAGCCTAGGAGGCATGAAATGCCCAAGAACATCCATCCCTAATTGAGCCTCTTAACATAAGGAGGTCTCCTCTCTAAACTAGGTCAATATAGCACACACAATCATCATGAAAAAGTACCTCCACATTCACATTAACCACAACCACACACAAATCATTCAATTCATACAAGCATTCACATAATTGTAGCTAGGGTTTACAAAAACCCAAGTGAAAGAAGGGACTACTCCATGCTAGGAGAAGGGAAAACACAAGAGAGGGAAAGGAAAACCATCAAAAAGATGAAAGCCTTGCTCCTTGTGTTGAAGAGATCCTCCTTTGGTGGAGGAATTCCCAAATCCTTGCTTGGATATGAAACCCTATCTTCTCCTCTTCTTCGGTTTGTCAATTTCTCACTCTAAATTCGAAGAAGAAGTTTCTCACACTAGGTCTCCCCCCTTCTTCTTCCTTTCAGTTGGCTCTTTAAATTGAGATCGAGCCCAGTTCACAGCCTGAGTTCACGGCCGTGAACATCGAAACGCGTTCGTGAACATGGTGTAAAAACCAAAATGCACCGCTTCACATCATGGGGTTCACGGTTTGTGTCCTCTGTTCACAGTCTTAGCGACCGTGAACAGCCTTGGAGTCAGTAACCTCAAAACCCTCTCTAGACGCTCCTTGGTTCACTGATTGTGGCTCCAGTTCACGGTCCTGTAAGACCGTGAATTCCAATGGCAGACCGTGAGTTGTGGTTGTCTCCTCCTCTTTGACCGGTCTTTGCTCCTTTTCTTCCAACTTTCGACTTTCACCTGTTAGGATCTGCAACACACTGAAACACAAGAAACCTCACGTATAACCACACTTTTTGGAGTTCAATTGCAACAAACGTCAAAGCAAAACGGGGATAAAAAGTGTACAATTAGGCCCGAATCAATGACACCTTCCTCTAGTTCGGATTCCGAACGGGGCAATTATTCATGTAGCAGGGGTTGGTACCCTCAGTCTTAATGGTTGTTGACATGCTACGACACAACACCAAACTACGACCAAGTATAATCACAGTCTGGAAATGCATAATAGTGGTTAAGTTTGATTTTTCAACCCAGGGTCAAGATCTACTGCCTACTCCGTAAACTTCTATTATCTAGAGGGACTAAGTGAGTGTGAGTGAATTCAAACTAAACAAAAAGAAAATAGTAAATTGTTCGAAGTTCTTAAGCAAGGGAAGAGTCACTTGGGATGGAGTCCCCCTAGCTCCTTAGTTAGGTTCAAGTTGTAATTTCCTTTGGTTGATTCACTATTGATTAAATTGCGGAAGATCCGACAGTAGCTTGGAATCTCTTAAACTGACCAAGCCCTCTTAGACAGACTAATTGGCAGACGACTAGTCTTCACCGGGATAGAATGCTAAGGCAATTAACACAGAACTCCACTACTGGAAATAGATTCCAGTACAAAGCAGTGAATTGACTGACTCTCGTACAATCAATTCACTCTTATCGATTGAAGAAGCTCTAACAACCTAATCAGATTCTATCTATCTCAGGTTGCAGCAGAAATCAAAAGAAGTTGATCAGGATTCAATTGACTCAATAAACACACTTCAGTCGATTAAAACCAATCAGTATATCAATCCAAAAGTCATTACAACTCAAATCCCTAACACATGAAACTAGGGTTCTTCATACCCAAGTGAGAGAAAGATTTACTCCATAGAGAGAGTAGAAAACAACAATCAGAGGAATCATGCTCATAATGATGCATACGATAAGCTCTGGGATAATAATATTCACTCCAAGGCCGAAATCCAAGCTTGATTGATGAAACCCAGCTCCAAAATCGATCCTAGGGTTTGTTTTTCGCTCTTTCTCTCTCTAAAACTCTGTTTTTGCTCCGAATATTCGATTCCCCTTCTTTTGGTTCGAAACTGCTAGTTTAACCCGAGACCGGCAAAACACAGGCGTGGTACACAGTCATGTCCTTCTCATCCCACCAGCGTTTTTCAAAAGTCACGTGGGAAAACTTTGACTGACGTAGGGAAAACACGTCCGTTCCAAGGAAAACATGGTCGTCCCCAAATAAGTGACACGGTCGTGTTCCAGCCATGACCGCCCATGTTTTGCATTCTTCAGCAGCAATCATACATAAACTCTCGGCATTAAAAACACTGTCACGGAACACATTCGTGCTTTGGGGAAATGGCACCCATGTTTTGCCCT